ATATAATAATAATTTCGATAAATACGATTATTTATTAGGCCCAATTTGTTGCAAACAGCACTTAAATGGCCAATATTGGCTATTTAAATATAAGATATGCAACCCTTTGTTTGTACCAAACAACAATCAGCTGTTCAGCACAAAATGTAAACAAACAGATCCAACAACAATTACAAGGAACAAGCAACATTGCTGCTACTCCTTTGGCATATTTAAATAAAGGCCATCTGAAACCCAACGCAAGTGGAATGGCATCTTGCATTAAATTTTTAAGAATTATTTGAATTAAAATGGAAATTAAATGGAAAAATGTTTGTAATTGCCATCAGTTCTTTCATATAAATTATATGTAACACATTTCGCATGTTTTTCAAATCATACATCCATGCATATGGAGCCATGAGCATATGTACATATATCTATGTACATACCTGCACATTCATATGTACATTTTTATTACATACGCGAAATTAAATGTACCTACTTACAAACAAAAACATTTATTTAATGGGAAATTTATTTGTGAATACACATAATAAAAATGTCAACCGTGAATTTATTAATGTATGCATACATTTGTCGCTGTTTGTAGCAATGCGTGCCTTTCCATTGAAAAGTATCAACTGTAAATTGAGAGCATTTACTCTTTACCACATCTACATACCTACATTCATTTGTATATATAGTGTATACATAAGGGTGACTCATGAAAAAAAAATAAAATTTTTGCAGGTTTTTCTCCGGAATTATACAATTTCAATATACCTCAGAAAATCTCAGTATTTTTTGAAAAATATTTTTAATAACTAATTTTAGTTCTAAAAAACTCGATTTTTGGAGATATTTTTAAATCAGTTCAGCTCACGTAAATCTTAAAATTTTTCGAAATATTTTGGTGGAAGTCGTATAGCCTTATTCATAAAATGTCAATTTATAAAGTTCTTTAAAGCTACTTGATTTTTAACCGACTTCAAAAAAACGAGGAGAATATCAGTTCGTCGGAATATTTTTTTATTTATTTTTATTTATGTTATCGCATAACTTTGGACCACGTTAATCGATAAATCGGTTTTTTTTTTTGCTTAAAAATTACTTATTTATGAATAAGGCCATTAAAATATAACAAATTTATAATTCCGATGAAAAAACTCTCCGGAGTTTTTTCGTTATGGAGAGTGATGCACCCTAATGTAATTTAGTATGTACATCCATATACGTTTAATAAATAAAATTCCAAGAATTTCTGCTCATTTCCACACGATTGCACTACCTTTCCTTTGTTTTTTTGAATCGCTACATTAAAATGACAACTTTTATTTTTATTTCAAAGTAGTAGTAAATACCCGGCGTGCTTCACTGCGCCTTAAACATATTTTTGTGCTGTTTGATACCTGTATTGTAATATTTCATTTATTTCATGAATTCAATTGAATTCAATTTCTCAAGCAGGTAGCAACCTTCCTCAACAATATTCTCTGCATTAAACTTTCCTAAACCTCTTCAGTTTGATACCCATATTGCAATATTTGATTTATCTTATCAATTAAATTGAATTAAAAATTTCAAACAGGTGGCACTCTTCAACAAAAATACTTTGCTTGTAAGCGTTCCTATACCTCTTTCTTTTGACAGCCATATTGCAATACTTACTTTATCTTACGAATTTACTTAAACTGCAATTTTCCAACAGGTAGCAACTCTCTAATTTTTTTCTCTATACTTTAAGTTAGAACTCTAGCAATACGTCAGTGAAAACTGCATTCAATTTCATACATTACAGACAGACAGATAGACAGACAGACAGACAAAGATTCGAAAAATTGTTGATTTGGCTTCTGTTGCTCTAATTTTTCTTTAAATTCTATAATGTACAGACATCGGCCTGTTACAATTTTATTAAATGTACAGATGTAAGCCAATAATCAGACATACGTACAGGTGCACTCGAATGGTTTACGCAGAATTATATCCATTTTATGCGATAATAGTCGCGAAATAATCGTTTTCAGCTTAAAAACACAGCATTTCCCTTAGTGCGCCTAAAAGCAGGCCTCTCAAATTCATTTCACTTTGCCTTTTTAAGTTTCGCATTCTCATTTCGTTTTGTACATTCATTCATTCAAAAGGAAGCGAATTTTTTTTTTTGTTTTTAAATTAACTGTCATCACCAATTTTTATGTAGAGTAGAGGCGGCGCCGTTTTCCTTTCTTTTCTTCTGTTCTTTTGTTTCCCTTTGTGCAAGCACATATTAATCAAATTTTTCACACTTTTTCTGCCCACTTCCCCCCTATGTGTGCTGTTATTAGCACCAACTGTGTGGATGGTGGAAGCTGCGCAGCAGTTTGCGGATTGCATAATTACCAGCACGTGGAAGTGTCAGTGAAAAGGTGGAGGGAGAACGTACATACATATGTACGTACGTATGTATGTAGGAGTCGGTGTGTGCAGCTTTCATTAATTATTGTGAATTATTATTACGTTTATTATGGCATCCAAAAGGCTTTACTTTTCAGCGCCCATATTCGGTGTGTGCGCGAATACAATGAAAGGTTGTCTCATTAGGGTGCTATTGTAATTGTAAATAATCCCACGGCAATGTCAATGAATGGGTTAAATACACACACATACGAGTAAGTATAGTAGTAAGCAGGTACAATGTGTATGGATATTAGCTGTTAAAGCCTTTTTTATTTGTGATTGTTGGGGATTTAATGATGAAAATCAATTTTAATACAAAAAGCTTCTCACATCCACATCCATGTTTGTTGTACAGAATGCGTGAGTAATGATAATAAATTTGGCTTATCATCGAAGCACCTATATATATATTTTTTTGCAGGTTATGCAATGTTCTACTCTTAAAGGCCTTTTCTAAATTTTGCTGGCAAAGCGGCTTTGAATTGCGATATCGGTTTATTGGGTAAATATGCATCGAAGATTCGATTTCGTCAGTCAAAATATGAATAAGTAAGAGACAGGAGCTGAAAGAACAGACTAGCGAAGTTCACCTCGGATGGATCGAAGATTGACGGAATGGTCAATGAAGATGTGGACTAGAGAAAGAAAAGAAGAATAGGCAAAAACGGGTGGGCTTGCCGAATTATTACTCCTCTAGGGAAAAATGTGATTCGCGAAGATACTCTGTATACTATTCATATCGCCCATGAAAGATGTAAACAGTGGTTTGTCGATTATATCTATGGTGAACATACACTAGGCGACAAATGAAAGTGCTCACCTTGTTCGAATATAATTTTCACAATTATTTTTATGAAATTTTTTTTGCATTAATTATTTATGAAAATATAGTTCATTCTATAATATAAACCATATAATTAAAAATTTCACACTTTATATAAAGTTCAAAAAAATACGAAAAATTTCAAAAATTTTTATTCAGAATTTCTTCCATAGTCAATATTTATTTTTATGTGGAAGAAAATGCGCAACACTATCCACAAATAAAAAATCTAAAAAATGAACGTTAATTTTTGGCGACTTGAAACTTTAATTTTGCACTAGAATTTAAAGGGCTTCATAACTGCATGCTCGAAAATTCGAGAAAAATACTCGAAAAATGCTATTTATCAATTACATATTTTTAGGCGTAGCAAAAAAGCTTTTTTTTTAAATTCAGACATTTGTGCTTTAAAAAAAAAATATACGTGCATATAAGGTATGGCTATCAATCGCCTGTTTTTAAAATTAGGCACCGAAATATCAAGATTTTTAGTTTAAGATAATTCCAAAGTCGCATTTTTTTTATTTAAATTTTTTCAATTAAGAATGATAAGTTCCCTTTCAGACACGTCAAGTCTTGCTTTCAAGTCTGCTCGTTCGTTGGCGAAGGAGGTGGGAAGAGAGGGGAAGAGTACAGATACCTCCGTACCGTCAATTCGTTTCAAGTTTTCTTGTCTCTTTTGATCTTTTCGTTGCATCCCGTTTAAGAACCAAGGACTTGAATTCAATTAAAGTTGACGCGTGTGGAAGCAAATAGAAAACACAAAAGAGAATGCGAAAAAAATTGCTTTCAAGACTTGACCTATCTGAAAGAGGACTAACTTTAGATTTAGGCTTATATTTTTTTCGGTAAATTTAATCTGTATTTAGTATTTTTATTATTTTTTTTTTTTTGATAAAAAAAATACCGCTTCATAAAATAACGGCTAAATTTGGTCGGTAAAATAGAAATGAGTGAAGAAGATGGAGTGAAAAAAATTGTTTTTTTTTTTTTTTAGAAAATGCGCTCATTGGTAAGATTTTTCGAATTTTAAATGAGTGTAAACAATAAAGTAACCTTTTTCTAAGCGTATTAAAAAAAATAAAGCATACTTTCAACTGTTTATGTTATGTTACTTCCTTCCAAAATATATTGTAAAATTATTTACAAGAGATCATCAACACAATATTAAAAAAAACTGCAGACTTTTAGGATCGAATAAAAGATTACAACTAACTGAAACTTAGCTTAAATAAAATCGCGTTTTTGCATGCCAATATTTTTTGTCTTACAAATTTAAGTAATTCTTAAAAAGTACTTAGCTTTTACAAATCTCAAAAAGTTTGCCTACTTTCATGCGTCGTTTGCTTACAAAGCAATAAAGCTCTAAAATATTTCAAGCTGCAAGCACTAAAGGCGACAGTATGAAAAAGCGCGCTACACATACAAATGCGAAATTTATAAACTTTTAAAGCGCCTAATTTTCAATTAAAATTCTTCTGTACTAACGACTGGTCGACTATGAATGCATATTTACTATTTGTTATGAGTATTATTTAATCATGCTTCAGTTTTATGTAGTTATATATTTTTTTATATTTAGGTATCTATACATTTTCAATCTTAATATCGCAGCTAATTTTGAGCTTTTCATTTTTTAACTAAGTTTTTTAAATCAATATTTTATATATATTTTTTCGTTTAATTAACTGCTAAATATTTAAAGTTTTCTTAAAACTAAAAAGTTTCTATTTTTATGTATAGTTTTTCATTTAAAACTTTTAAATATCTAAACAGTATTTGCACTACTACTTTAGAAATGTACTTTTGTATGCTATTTGATCAATTTTAAAAATTTACACAATACTTAATTTAACGCTTACACTACTAATTTTATTCGAGCTTTTATTAAAAATTTGCAAAACGTCTAGCAATTTGATAAATACTTAGAAACTTAAGACTTCGCGATACTATTTTTGAAAAGCAAAAGAAACTTTTAACCTAAAAAATTTAGACGTATATTTGCCATACTTCCTGGGGATTGTAATGAAAGCTTCGCTATGTGGCGCTAATAGTTCCGCTATGTGGCGCTAATGAGTTCCACACAAATACACCCAGTGCCTAAAGGTATGCTGTACTTATTTTCTTAGAAATTCCACTCACCCACGAGAAAAAGTGACTGACATTCGAGTTACATAATACGGTTGTACTTTTATCGGCGACTTTTTGTACTTCAGCAACAATTTCATATTTTCTTTTAAATTCTTAAACAAATTATTTTTGTTGTTGCTGTCTTTTCTTGACTGGCTATATTGTTTTTGTGTTTTTACAAACAATTTCTGATAATAAAACTCACTTTGCCTCAAAAGCAGCTTCATTTGAGAGAGTGCTTTGTTTTTCTGTTTTTCACTGCATGGACTTTTGATCTTCTGCTTGTACTATTTTGTCCCAAAATTTTTATTTTTATTTTTTTCTGTTTTAATTTTGTTGCTGCTGCTGCCCGTCACATAATTACATATATTTTTCGGTTATTTGCCAGTAAAGTCGACTTTTTGGCGCACGGACATTATGTTGTTTTTGTTGCTTTTGTGTTTTAGTTTTCACAACCATGAAATTTGTAATACTCGTCTACATAGTTTATTTTTGACCGAATTTTGATTTTGCATCTTTCAAATACATACCAGTTAATAGTGGTTTTTGTTGAAAATTATGTCGCATCCAAGTTTTTCAAACACAAAAATGTTGAGCACATAATTTCAGGCGCTACACTGTACACTTGTAATTAATCAAAATGTTAAAGCATTTTCATAACTTTATTGCTGTTGTATATCACTACCACCACCATTTCCAAGGCCAGCTTTAGACTCGGGCGGCACCTGTGTGGGAAAGAGAGAGAGGTGCGAGAGCGATGTCATTGAATTGGAATTGTACGAAAGTATTTAAAGATTTGTATACAAATATAATATAAATTTGTTACATTTATATTGAATAAAAAAAAAATATTTTGTATTAAAGCATTTACGTGTGCATAGATAGCAAAAATCATAAAAAAAACAAGCACACATTTAGGCGCACAGCAAAATACATGACAATGGACGTCTTGAAAGTTAGTAAAACTGATAAATTCAAAATAAATTGGGTTAGTAAGCAACGCAAGTTAGAAACTAAAGCTGAATGTTAAGTTTTGTTTGTGGCATAGGTTGTTTCAAGCAGGAAACTCACTAATATTTTTTGAAAAAATTTTCACTTATCGCACAGCTGGAGCTATATTTTTTAACTAAGTTGGTTATACTAATGGCCTTATTCCTACGACAATGACAAAACTCATCGCATAAGAAATGCCTAAAAATTTTACGCCGAATAACATAGAAAATGGTCAATATTAGAACGCTTAAAGCCAAGTTCGTGGAGCACACTTTTAGGCGCAGTAGTTAAAGCAATTGTTATGCGATACGTTTTGTCATTGGCGTGGGTATAAGGGCCGTAAATACTAATTTTTCTGTTTCAAGCAGAAAAAGTATGCGCTAATTCAAGAAGAGTTCCCTTGTTGAAGCACTTATTTGAATGTGAAATTTAGTATTTTCAAATAAATAAGTTTGCATGTATGTAGCTGCAGCATGGCACAAGACATAATGCATGTATGTAGTATATTTTTGTTTGTATGCAATGTATGTTAAAAAATCTGTATGTCCAATCGGACAGAGCTGAAATTAGTTAACCGCACATAAAACAATATTAAAGCAGAGCTTAAGAACGAATTATTTAATAAAATGTAAGCAAAAGTATCTGAAAATGTTTACATAACATTTAAATTGAAAAAAGTCACATGCCGATATTATAAGTTTCAATCTTACATTTTTGTTCAAGCTTCTTTGGTATTATAGTCTATTACTTATGTTTATTCGCGTTCTGTAGGAATCTACAAATTGCAAGTCGAAATTATGATCACCGAAAAGCTCCGAATGCCTAAAAGTATGCCACATAAAGACACCTCCTATACCTTAACCCATAAGCACCTGCCCTAGGTCTCTTAGACCACCTTAAAATTCAATATCGTTAAGCTAAAGTAAGAGAGGTTGCCAAATGATTTAAGTTGGTGTAAACATGTGAATTCTCTCTTCAAAAATGCTTTCTTTAACTGCTCTACTTTGACAGCTCTAAAAAAATTGAATTGGAAATTTTAAACTAATGGCAACCCCACCAAAATATATTTTAGAAATAAAGCCTTTTTAAACTTTTTTCATTTGGGTTTCTAAAACATCTCTTATTTGATAACCATACAAAATATGTAACTTAACTTGTTTTAAAATTAATATGATTATAAATTTCCAAACAGTTGGCAATCTTCATAAAAAATATTTTCAAAATTAAGCTTTTTTAAAGCTCTCTCGTTTAATACCCATACATATTTAAATATTAGAATTAACTTGGTAATTAATTTGATTTTGACTTTATGAACAGATGGCAACCCTTTTCAAGAATATTTTCAAAATAAATTGTATTTAAACCTCTTTCTTTTGGCACCTAAATTGTTGCAGTATTGCTTTTATATAAGTTATTGATTAACTGATTTTAACTTTTTGCAAATGTAGCAGCTCTCTTCAGAAATTTTTTATAAGTAGCGCTTACTTAAACCTCTCTTACTTGGTATGTATATTAAAATATTTAATTTAAATTGTTTATTAAATTAATTCAATTTTTTTTAACAGGTGGCAACACTCTTCAAAAATATTTTTGAAATAAAGTTGTCCTCAGCCCCGCTCGTTTGACACGCATATACAAATATTTAATTTAACTTTTAAGCTTTATCGATTTGGAATTTCTAATAAGGTGGCAACCGCACTCAATAATATTTCCGAAATAAAGCTTTCTTAACCCTCTATCTCTTGATACCCTAATACAAATACTTCCTTTAACTTGTTAATTAAATTAGCTTTAAATTTCTATACAGTTGGCAAAACTGTTAAATATATTTTCGAAATAAAGCTTTCGTAAACCTCTTTAGTTTGACACGCATATTAATATATGTATTTGATTAACTTGTTAATTAAATTGATTTTTGAATTTCCGAAAAGGTGGCAATCCTCGTCAAAAATATTTTCGAAATAAAGCTTTGCTAAAACTCATCCGTTTGAACGAACTTTACTGAACACTTTTTAGTTGCATAAAAAAGCTTAGCTTCACGACATTCGTGAAAAATTTCCAATAAAGTTATTCGCACCACAACGATACTGCTCAATAACAGGAGGAAGAAAAGCCTCGAAAAACGACACTTTTGTAGTCCGATGTATGATGGAAATGAAAAATTTTATGGTACATAAATATTTGTGTAGGTGCGCCGTAGCGGTGGCGGCGAAGGCGTCTACTTCTGTTAATGGCTTGACACTACACCGAAATTAATCTCCAATGGTTTCGCGAAACAGCGCGTAGATTGCGGCGTAGCTCGCAGCTCCATTCTGGGTTAGGAGGCATTTAATCGGGCTTTTGATGGGCGAGTGAATGAACTTTGATACACATTTGGTGCACCTTCCGGAGCGACTTATGGATGCTATAGTTCAGGTCCGCTGCATTTTGGCCTCTAACTGGGGCCTAGGCCAACGTGCGGTTCGTTCAGGGCTTGTTTGTGGCTTGTGTCACTTATGGGTCTACTGTGTAGTATGAATCTGTTATGACGGTTGGTGGTCGCCAAAAGATTCTGTCGTGCCAGAGGGTAATGCTGCTGGGTTGTCTGCCGGTATGTCGCACAGTTTCCACTGATTCACTTCAGATGTTAATGGGAGCCCCTATCATTGATCTGGTAGTCATAGACCGTTCTATGACATTCTTGCTAAGGTAGCCGTTGATGCATGATTATTTATGTGGAGAGAGGCTTCTTAGAGAGCAAACGCACCTCCCATAAAGAGCGGTATTGAGGAATTGGTGGGACCTCTGGGATAATGGGTACATTTGGTATGTTAATTATGTCCACGAAAACCCGGATTTCAGATTTTATTTGAGTCTGGATATTCTTCTGACTGGACGTGGGTAATTTTTGCATAAATGTCTACATGATTTGGAGGGTTGCGCATGTGGTGCGCAGAGCGAGGATGCCGGATACGTTGTTTGTGAATGATCGATGTACTTCAAAATTAGAAATTTATATGGGATGGAAATTAGATGGACAAATGGACGATTTATTTTTGACTCCACGGTGCAGCATATTGAAAGCCTGGGGAAACTTGCACGAGAGGTCTTTAGACGGCTAAGATGTGTAAATGTATGAGGGGGTAAATGAGCCTGTGTAGGCTATAGCCCAGAGTGCTATCTAAATTAAACTGGCCGTAGTTTCCGCTACGAGGTCTTACCGGAGACTTAAATCTGGTACGACGGGGAACAGGAGCCCCAGAGTTTGCTCTGGCCTGTTCTTGTGTACGGAACCTCGGGGAATATCGTGGTCGTTGTGGGGGTTTAAAGCAAAATGCGGCTAGAGCTGACTTTTGTTGGCCCGTTGTGAAGTTGCAAAGTAAGGCAGAGATTTAGATAGATCTCGAAACCAATCAAGGTGGTTAATATAAACATTCCGCGCTGCCGATTGGTACTGAAATACTTACATTTCGGGGCGCTGATCAACCCATAGTTTTGATCCGCTGTGTTTGTGAGGACCGTGGGGTTAAGCAGTCGTCGGTAGGTGCCTATAGTAAATTATATTGGACCACCGCGGCAGCTCGGGTGGTATTATGAGTGCATTTGTAATCCTTCTCACTTCTTATCCATCTCTAAACGAGGTTTTTTTTTAATGATATTATTTTGTATAAAGTCACTTCTTATTATTAAAGATTATTTGGAGAAAAGGAATCGTTTGGGTAGGCAGATATCATTCTCACAGTTCACCTTAGCACAAATAGAATACCGAATGGTGAAATATTTTCAAGACCAATATAAACCGACAGCTATAAAAATGTTCCTCACAAATTTCTAATCTACTTAACTCTTTTAAATCTATGTACCTACGCCCTAATTCTCGTAACATTTAAGCCCATCAAATTACATTTAACATACATACATACATAGACATAATTTAGACAACATATATTGACACCAAAATACACCAATTACGAGACATTTATGAAAAAATTTGGATACCTTAAATAAAGAGTTTCACGAAGCCGTTTGCATATTCTGGAAAAGCATCTAATGAAACTGAGCTACAAATGCGTATAAATATCCAAAATTTTGGGCAAACAATTATGTTTATATAAGACTGTGGAAGTCTAAGAAATCCCCGGAATCACTTTGGTTGCTCAGTTGTTGCTCAAGCTGGGTTTTGGTTGGTGTTGTTGATATAAACGATTGTTAAGGAGAAATAAATGTGAGTAGAGTTTATTTGAAACAATGCAAAAATGAAAGAAATAAAGAGAAAAAAAATTGTGGTTTTTGGAATGCATTAGTATTAAAGGAAAAATGGAAGCAAAGATGAAAAGACAAAGAAATTTGGATCGACAATTAGAGTTAAACAAGGAGTTTCTTCTTTTTTTTTTTTTAAAGAGCAACAAGAAGTTTGTATTTAAAAGTGTTTTATTGTTTGGGAAAGTAGTGAAAAAGTAAACCATTTATGTATATTCGTATAAAGAAAATAAAGCATACCAAAATTAAAGCAAAAGTCTAGGTGAAAAGGAATTAGTAGCATAACCAGCAAAATACACAGTTTTAACTTACCAACTTCTTAAAGCAATCCTCAAAGAAACTTGTCATCGAGCGATAGAGATGTCTTTTAACACCCGACAGCGTATGTCCTTCATCTGGGTAGATTTGTTGTTTGTAGAGCACACCTTTATTGGTTAACGCACGCGCCAACACCATTGACTGCTGCACGTGTACATTGTCATCGGCGGTGCCATGCACCAGTAGGAATTGACGATCGCGCAGATTATCCACATATTTGGAGAGATCACCCTCCTCGTAGCCCTTGTAATTGTCAGTCACATTCGGAAAGCTTAAGTAGCGTTCAGCATAGGTGGAATCTGAGGATGAGAGAGAAGAGAAGGAAAACAAGGTGGTTTTCAGAAATTAAAAAGAGGTTATCAAGGGCTTTAGATACGGTGATCCCTGAAAGCGATAATTGGACCCAGGAAATAACTACTAGGTGCTCTATCAGCCTGCAGTCCTATCCAGGAAAGCCTGAAAGAGTGTTTCGGTCCATGAGGAATTTAGCTCGTCCTCAACCCAGATACATATAAAAATACAGAGATATAAAAGGTTCTAAGTCTTTGTGCAGCCCGTCTTCCCTTTTATACGAATATCTGTCACTTGGACGCCCATAACTCCACTGTGTCGCAGTTTCCAAATGAAGTAAACCCAGTTCTTGTAGATGTGTTTGATTCTCATCCCATTTTCTGCATACGGCTCCGGGCACACCCGTAATTTAATATCAGGAACGGCAGCCTAAAACACTTGCTCTATGATAGCGAAAAGGAGTCTTCTAGGCTTCTAGCGAGAATGAGGCTTCTGCCTTAGTCAGTTCTGAAGCCATCAGTGTATGAAATGATGCTATTCTTCCGAGGTTTAGGTGGACTTTTCTTATAATTGTCATCGTTCCTACGAATGCAACTGCAAAGAACTCACCGAAGTCTTCATAAAGGATTATGGAAAAGGCCTCAGAATAGAAGAGGCTTGGATTTTTATGCTTCGTACCTTTTAAATTAGGTATGATGGAAAATTCCATTCCAAAATTCCATACCAAATCCTTAGATGAGAATAAATGAGCACCCTTATATTTAGCGCCCAGATATTTGCAGTGCCAGAAAGTCGGCCACTGTTTGATAAAATCCCAGCTGAAAGTATATATATTAGACCAAAGCCTCCATTGTAGTATGCACATTGTTATCGGCCTTTCAGGTGAAGCGTCCAGCAATCTTGACCTGCGGAAGCATACAACTTTTGATAGTCAAGCCGCTGTCTAGACCTTATCGACTTAACAAAACCATTACGACTTTTAGCAGTTTTGGAAGAAAACGGCAAGAAAATCTTTATAGTTCCTGAACTATGTTTTAGTCTTAACTGGTCACCCATTACGAAAAGATTACGAAAAGCCCGGGAAGCCTGATTTTTTCTTAATTGAGAATTTTTCCAAGTAGCAAATATGGTTAGAGGTCACCTCTAAATGCAGCCTTTTTAAGATAATCCGGATAAGATAATGGCTGTAGGAATCCATAATAGAGCAAGCTATTAAGGGCATATTTAAATACAGCAGGGATTGAAAAGATCATTGCTAAAAACCGGAGCCTACCGAATGAGTCTGTCTTTACCTTTTGATATAAATATCTTACCGTAAAGCTTCCAATTCGTCACCGGTGAAACGCTGATGCCACACTGAAAGATCGACTGGGTACCCGCAAGCGCCAGTGCTGCAGTGTAGCCGCCATAGCTCCAACCCCATACACCCATCCGGCGACCATCTATGAAATGTAAATTGTCACGCAGATATTCACTCACTTCCAGCTGATCGGACACCTCTACGGATCCTAGTCGCTTGTAGATTTCATGCAGCAATTGATAGCCCTGACCCGATGAGCCTCGTCCATCGATTTCTATTACAATGTAGTCTTTCGTCCCCGACAAGTAGGTATTCCAATCGACGTGCCATTTTTCTGTAACCAACTGCGTGCCTGGTCCCGAGTACACGTGCAATATAGTGGGGTAGCGGGTTATCTCATCCTCACGCAGCACGGGCGGCAGGAAGAGACGCACTTGTGCGTGATAACCGCCCGATATCATGACTGGAAAGGTTTTCACCTGCGGCAATGCAGTGCGCAACATTTTCTCCTTCAGGCGCGTGTTATTCTGCACTGTCAGGAGTAACTCTAGCGCCTCGGATTTCTTTGGCGGCATTGATTTCTTATCGTTGAACTCGCCATAAACACCAGTGAGTGCGTACACTGTTGAGGTGGGTATCACTGGACCCAGACATTCAATGAGCACATAACGCGCTCGCATTGCCAACGGAAACTTAGCGGTGTGATAGAGACATTCACTGGGTTCGATATGGTGGTGTGACGATTTTGGATGCTTGTGTTCCGGTGTTAGAGTGGGTGGCGGCAAAGTTTGACGCTCTTCAGAATCCTCCCAGTCATCGTCCCATGCCGTGACCAATTTTGGCGGCGGTTTCGTTTGCCCCTCGGCCCCTTGATGGCTGCTGCGCAATTGTGTTGGGCATGTTAGACATTCGGGCAGCAGAATCGGCGAGCCGTGACGTGGTGGTAAAGCGGACACGCGATACAGGTGCTGCTGACCCGGCAGGCGTTCCGGTATGCCAAGAAAGTAGCTGCCGGAAGAGGTAGAGGACGTGCGGATAAAGGGAAAAATATGGTATTTAATTTAACTGATGAAAAAAAGGGAGGCGTGGGTGAAAGTAGGGGTGGTGCTTACATCCAATTATTCAGCTGGTCCCAATGTAGCAACTCATTCACTTCGTACTGGCCATGCGTTAGTGGCAGGACACGCTTTCTGGCCACATGGACGTGCACAATGTGACGGAAATAGCCTGTTGGAGAGCAAAATAAATCAAATTTTTGGGTTTCATTAAAAGAAGCGTGATACAAATGGCGAAAATTGAGGTTATGGTTGTGCATGCGAGCGAAAAAATGGCGTTGCTAGTTTCAACTCACCGGACGTGCCGTCACGCAATGGCGATATGGCAACATAGGAAGTTGCATTCGCGGCAAACAATGGCACCGAATTGGTATCCACCCAACCGCGACCGTCACCGCTCACGCGATGAGTCTGCACGCAGAGTTAGGAGCATTTTCGAGCGTTGGTTTGCATATTCGGTCATAGTTCGATGAAGCGTCGGAGAAAATCCATATAATAAATAAAAGAAATCGCCAGTATAAGCTTTAATAGCTGTGTGTTTTGATAAATTGCGCTTAGCAGTGAGTGACACTAAAACTTATTTAGTACAAATGCACGCACTCAGACGCATAGATTCACTGGTCCAGTGCTTGTTAATAGTCATTGCACAGTGGTACAGTGGTACTTGAATTTACTGTTCAAAATTCACTAGCGCCTTCATTTTTCAACCAGTTTGATAAAGTTTTTTTTTAATGAAAGTTTCAAAAACTACCCAGAGAGTAGTTGAGCCTGATTTTTTTATTTTTCTTAGTTTATATTAAAATTTTTAATGCAAAATACAGAAAGAGTAGCAGTTTTGAAGAAAATCGATTCCCAGGTAATAAATGTTACATAACAAAAACTAGTTCAATTGTAGGGTTTGCCCACGAAAAAAAAATTCTCAAGAAAAATTTGAATGTTATAAAATTTTCACCGAAATATAATTTTTTTTTTTGGTTTGTAGAAAAATTTTTGGTGTGCAGTTTTATAAATCATAAAATTTTAAAATAACAAAACGGAAGTCGCAAGTGGCTAGAAGTTAAGTTGATTTTTAATAGTTTTTTTCGCTTCCATTCGAGTCCATCTGAGTGCTAAATAGAAACTAAAAGCGTTTCCAGCTTGCTTTTCATTAACTATACTAAAATTTAATGATCTAAAAGTTTTCTAAAAACCAAAAAAATAAAATAAATTAATCTTGGATAAATTTTTTTTATAACATTTGAAATTTTTTAATTTTTTTATAACTCTTTTCAACTAGTATGTATTATGCAACCTTTATTAATTGGAACAGGAGAATCGATTTTCTTCAAAATTGCAACTTATTCGACACTTTGCACTAAAACTAAAAAAATGTATATAATCAAACAAAAATTCAAAAATCAGGCTCAACTGATCTCTTGCTAATATTATAAGCTTTCGTTAAAACATAAATTTATAAAATTGAGTGAAAAATGAGGGCACCAGTGAATTATGAACACTAAATGCCAGTTTTGAACCACTGTGCATTGCAGTCTATGCATCTTATGCACACACATAAGCATCATCATAATTTTTCATCGATTATACTCACATACTATAACATATATTTACCTCAACGCACATAAACAATGGACTCTTACAGATGCTGACCACCGAAATGTTTTGCGGACGATTCAACCAAACTACACAGATCTCCGTTTCGCTCACCCAACTGGCGCTGCTGAAGTAGTGATCTCTGATAAAATCAGTCGCCGCAGGTTGAGCAGATGAAAACGTGAAAAGAAAGAAATGAGCATACATACATATAAGATAAAATTAATGGATTTTTTGGTAGATACATATGTGCGTATATAAATTTATTTTGTCTGTTCCAATCCGCTGCACGCAAAAGCGCAATCGTTCTGAAAACATAAGTTAATGTGGCATTCACTTAGGTATGTGGTCATAAATAATGCTTAGATTAGCAGGGATAAATGTACATACATATATATGGATACTTCGGGAAAATAGTTATCCCGTGTATAAAAAAAAAAATTGCTCGTTTGCTGGAAGAGCGTCGTAATGCTGGATAAAGGAAAAAAATTATGTGTATACATATCGAGCCCTAACCGCCAAAGAGTAGTAAACGATATTTTTTTAAAAATTTTACTTTTGATGTAGATATCTTCCTAGAACATCTAGATGCATTTCTGCATCAAAAATAAAATTTTGAAAAAATGTCGCTTACATCCATTGGCGATAAGGGCTCGATATGCTCGCGAATCTTTGCTGTATACATAGGTGGCTTCCTAAGTAGTTTTAATGTAAACGCACAACACATTGTGGGTGTACACACTTGCCTGGTTATCAGGTTATATGGTTAAAAATTATTATTATTCGGTAGTGTATTTTATTGTTTCGAACTAAATAAGAAATATAACCACATAACCAGACCGGTGTAAACACCCATATTAAAAAAATATATATGTATATTTAACTAATTTTTTTCGATTGTTCATTACTAAGTCACATATATCAACATTTGTATGAGATAACTTTGTGACCGCCATTATCGATAAGTTATCGATTTGTTTATCGATATATTTACTAAAATCATTGAGCAAATATTTAGGCTTATTTATTTATTTTATCTTTTCGCTAATGTCATCGATTTATTTAGCGATGTGGATTTTATTCTATCGCATGATCAATTCGTTCATTATGTAAAGAATACCAGAATAGACATTCCAATTTCTTTGAGTAGTGTTATCGGTTATTCGATTAGCAAAAATTTATTCGACAACTAATCGACTTCACTCCATCAACTAACCCTTTCCTTTCGACTATTACAACAAACGTTGATTTATTTCTATAACCATTGCTTTTTTTTATATTTTTTGAATACTTATGGATATCGCAAAAACCAACACCGCTAAGAGTAAAACTCCACACCGAAGCCCCTTAGGCGTTATGGCTTTCAGCACTCACGTCGCAATGTAAAAAATATACTAGCTGAATAAAATGGTGAAAGCCTGGAAAGCGGCGGTCGCCTGAAAAGCTTTTTGTTGTGGAGTTCTACTCTTTATTGTGAATAACTGTTACTATTTATTCCAATAATTTCGGTTAGTAAATTTTCAGACTACTCGATGGTGAGCGATTAGTTGATAGTGAACGGTTAGTTAAATCCGTGTGGTTATTATAATAATTGCTATTCGACCATCAACCGATAACAAAGTTTCTAATCGACTATTCGATTAACCGAATAACCGGATAAACTATTTAACAAGAGCTGCAATTTTTTTCTGCTTCTATTCGTATTTAGTTTTTACCATAACAATCTCTTAACTGCTAAATTTGTTTCGATACTTACTCATTTTGCAGTACATGCGGCGGTTGTAGATCTCTTATTTTGATATCCTCTGGATTTCTTATGTCGGCAACGCGTAATTTGACTATTGGATTTTGTGTGCTGGGCTTCGGATATCTGTAATAGAAAATTGTAAACTTCAGATGTTAGCATAGATTACGAAAATCGTCCAGTAAATATACTAAGATATTTGTTGAAAATGTATTTCATTTAGAGCAAAAGCTCCGCTAAACAATTACCAGTAGAACCATCAATACGCTTTTTTTTTAATGCCCATCCCAGCGCTGCCTAGCGAGCAATTCACATATGTAGCCTATGTTTTCGTGGAAGTCATTTTGTAAGATACTGACCCTCCCAAAATAGCTATCAGTCGCATCTTGGATATCGAACAAATAGATCTGAAAACCAGTACACATTTTAAAAAATCTATTTTTATAAGTCCTTTCATATTGGTCGTCAAGAGTAAAAGCATAGACAGACGGCAGCGTTGATCCAGATCAACTCTTTAATTCGGAATAATCTCGGGAATTAACTCCACTTGATCCGCATTAAGTTCTGGATATAATTCGTAAACTTAATACGGATCAAGGGACCAAAAATCGAGAACGTAGAATACAGAGAGCACGCAAGCCTAGCCTGAATATCTACCTCGTCGGTGGTAGATATGTATAACTGAAATTGAATAAGAACTTATTTGAATTAGTATAGTGAATGTAGTACCGCAGTTCTACGTTGTCCGAGCAAACAAGTAGGCAAAAAAATTTGGCGTCTGCGGTAGCGGTCGTTGCCGTTTGCTGTAGGATTCAAACTTTTGTAAGGCGATGGGATATTTCCATTCGTTTGGTTTCCTGGTACATTTATGAAAGAAAACAAATCTAAATGTCTGTAGTTTTAAGGAATCGAGTCTGCTGAAGAATTACTTTTAGAAGATATTGACTAGGGATTCGTTCCAAAATACATCATACACCCACCCTGTCGGAAACAACAACAACCAAAAAGGAAATTTTGTAAAAGAGTTATAGTTATTATTTGAAGCTTTTTAAACGCAACGCATATCTATTGTTTATTTAATTTTGCGCATTCTTATTCACGTTACTAATTGATACACTAATTAACCGCAAAAATGTCCTCACTTACTTAAACTATAATAAATGCAACAAATAAAAAAGTTCTCAATCCTATCTAAAAAATAAATCCTATCTGAGCATACCGTAAACTTTTTCAACTTTAGCTACGGTAGCTTTCTGCGAGGGAAATCAAAACATTCGCATGTTCCCTTCAAACCGGAAATGTTAAATGGATTCAAAGCAAAAAAAAGTAAGTGCGCCTGGGCCAAACCAATATAACCAATATCGATAAAATAAAACCGACAAATAATCTATAACAAAATCGTTAAAAGATCTATAAATATCGATAAATAATCGACAACCAATTCGATAAAATGTCGATAACAAAATCGATGACGAATTCGATAGATAATCGAAGAAATCGATAAAAATATCGAAACCAAATCGATAACAAGATAAAAATATCGATAACAAAATCGATGAAAATATCGATAAAAAATCGATAAATAATCGATAAAAATATCGATAACAAAAATCGACAAAAACACTGATAAAATGTCGATAACAAAATCGATAAAAATGTCGATAACGAAACCGATAACGAAATCGATAAACACTCGATAACAATATCGATAAGAAAACCGATAAAAATATGGATTATTTTATCGATAAGTCCCGAGAATCCCGATAATCTCTAAGATTCCAAAATAGTTCCCAGATTGAGTCTCTTTGTCTCTATCTATATCCTTCTCCCTATAATTACCTTTATTTTAATCTTTCTTCCTCTATCTTCATATTTACTTTTATCGATATCCTCATCCTCATCTTTTTGTTTATATTTATCTAAGTTTTTGCTTTTATGCTTATCATTTTCTTCATCTGCATATTCCCATTCACCTTTGCCTTTATATAAGTAAAGTGTTTAAACATATTTTGGTCCTCATTCTTGCCTTTATTCTCCGCATCTTTGTTTTTGATTTTATTTCTTGTATTCTTCTTGTATTGGCCTTTTTCTGAATGTTATTCTTTAACCTTTTATTAGCAAGCTTTTGTTAAATTAATAACATACATTCAAGAAGCACTTGTTTCCGTCCCAACCATTTCTGTTGCACCATTTCCGTTCAATTTACCAATTTACTCCCAACCAACCAACCAACCGCCGCTAAAGAAGTTTCACATAAAAAAAAAAAAAAAAAAACCAAACGGAAGCGCATAATAAGCGAGGAGACTAATCGACAGTAGCGAAAAGGGTAATACATACAACCAAACAACTGAGTATATTTCTCATTAAGTTTATGAAAACTTGCAAGCATCAAAATAAAGGGTGTTTGTGCCACCTGAACGTATGAGTAATTTTAAATACCAACACGTGTATGTACTCGAATGCCGCAGCGTAACAAATGCTGCAGCAGGTGTTGTACCATTATACTAGTTTGTATATATTACAAACATCTAGAAGGCATTCGCCTGAAATAAATGACAATTAAGTTACAGTTGAGACAGCTTTTCTACTCGTATGCATGGATGTATGTGTGTATGTATGTACGTATGCATACCCTGCAGAAAAAAAATTATCAATTGATAAAAAATAACCTACTTGTAGTTAGCTTTTTTGCGGGATTTCTATAAAATATATAACTTGTAGTCAGCTACAAAAATCTAACTTGAAACAAGTGGATAAGTAATGCAGGAGTTAAGCTCGAGATTGTCTTCTTTAAACGCGTTTCTATTTAAATATCCTGCACTTCGCAAATACTTTTTCGAATTGAGGACAAATAAAGGGAAGATCGAAATTTTATATTATCATTTTGAAGTTATGTCTGACGGAGTTCGAATAGGGACCACCTACAGCAGAATATGTAAACAAATATGAAATGTGAAAAAAATAAAGTAAATAAATAAAAAAAAAAACAAATAAAAAAAAATATTTTGTTTTTCCTATTGATATTTTATGCCCTAAAGTAGTTAGTTACCAGCTAGTTACATCAAATGCAGAGGTAACCACCCTTGACTATTTCGCGGCCATCGCCATAGAAATATAGCTAGCTTTCGTCAAAGAAAATATACAGATAATAAGTGACTTATAGCTCCTTCCTAATCAACTTAAAGTTAGTTTATAGCTAGATACATTTCCTGCAGGGTACTGACTTAGTATTTACTTATGTATTAGTTCGCTCACACATAAGATAAGCAGGTGTACATTTGCTTGGCGCATTGCTTGTTTTGTGGTTGGTTTGCGTAAATATTTTTCAGCATAGAATGATAATATTCGTAGCATACGCAGCAGTGGAAATAAACTAACATGCACGCTTCCACAGCTCACCATTTAATATTTGCCACAACAAAATGCCAACACTGCAAATAAATTATGGTAGAATTGTAGTAGCTACAGCTGCTTCAGAAAAAAAGTTGTATGCACGTATGTTGGTGTTTTGTTTATGTGTGTATAAATCCATAATGAGTATGGTGTCACTCAGCAAATAACACAAAATGTGTTCAAATCTGCAATAATCACGTGCCTTTGGCTTCGCATAATCACCTAAATAGATTAATCTTTATTATAAGTATATATGTGTCTACTTAAGTATGAATATAGTACGTGGGCATACGTAAAGTAAACATCCAACGAAGAGAAATGCAGAGTTTAGAAGAAGATCATCCTTTGAACCAGCACTTCTATAAAAAATCCAAACCCTCATCTTCATCTTCATCTTCATCTTCATCTTCATCTTCATCTTCATCTTCATCTTCATCATCTCTTCATCTTCATCTTCATCTTCATCTTCATCTTCATCTTCATCTTCATCATCTTCATCTTCATCTTCATCTTCATCATCTTCATCTTCATCTTCATCTTCATCTTCATCATCTTCATCTTCATCTTCATC